CACACTCCTTATCCTATCAGATCAGAAATATATATTTTTTTCTCACTTTGTGTTGGCATGTACACTTTTTAAAACACTTTCGACTTCGTTTTAAGCCTAGAATCGGCTAAACCGTAGCTCTGATACCATTAAATGTAACACCCCCAACCCGTATCCGATCCGTATACGAGTCCGAAGTGTCACATTGACTTTTCAAACATTTATTCGTATAAAATAGTGAGTAATTTAAAAACTTTGATAACATTTAACTTATTCAAAACGTTTACAAAATATATATCAGAGTTCATACAATTTATGTCTTTAGACTACATGCTAACTACACTCTATATACAGTACATATATTTTCTGATCTGATAATTGGGTAAGGAGAACTGACCTGTCTTGCTCCTCTTAGCTCTTTACTCTTCTCACTTCTGTAACCTACGTGTGAAACAATCACACGCTAAGTCGTTGACTTAGTGAGGCATAAAACATATAATAAAACTCTAACTCGTAATCATGCTTGAACAATTTCTACTAACATATCACATACAAGCATCATACCTACATATACATGTATTGAATCCTACTATGCACCTTTCATATATATATATATATATATACATCGTTTGTTTTCCATAAAAAATGCTTTGATGAGTTACCTGCTGAAATTCATCACCCTTCCCATCTAATACACTCTCTTTTTCTTGACTCGAATGTGACTGATTCCTTTTGCAAGCTATGCCAAAAGCAACATCCTGGATATTTTTATTATTGTTCTCTTTGTAATTTTAATATCAATATTATATGTGCTTGGCCGAGATCCATTGTTGAAGATAAAAGCCACCATCAACACTCATTCACATTATTTTGGAGAAGAAGTTCATTCATTTGTGATGCATGTAGTACCGAGGGGAACTATATGTCTTACATATGTTCGACATGCAGCATCACAGTCCATAAAGATTGCATTTCACTCCCACGCATTATCAAATTTTCACGACATGATCATTGTCTTTTTCACAAATATTTTCTTCAAACACGAGAGCTTACAAAGCAAGATTGCAAGATTTGTTTCAAAGAAGTGAAGTTTGAGCGTGGGAGTTACTCTTGTGTGAAGTCCGGTTGCAGTTACATCGTTCACGTGAATTGTGCCTTGGAGGATTACAGATTTTACGAGGTGGTTGAGCGAGAAAGCCGATGCGAGGAGCTCTATGGAAGTTCATCTAAGTCTACGCAGCCTTCCATCACTCGCGTTGTTGAGGTGAGTGAAGATGGGGAAGCCACAAAGATTGAACATTTCAGTCATGAAGGTCATTGCTTGGTGTTAGCAGACAAGATGGAGGAGGAAACTGATAGAAGATGTGATGGGTGCATGCTACCTGTCTCAACTCTGTTTTATTATTGTTCTGAATCAGAATGCCATTTCTATCTCCACAAAAACTGTGCCGAGCTGCCAGGAGTAAAGCGTCATTGGTTTCGTCGATATACTGCCGATCTGGACTCCAGAAGCTTCATGAGGTGTGCCTTGTGCAAACGACCTTGTAGCGGTTTCTTCTACGAAGTCGAAGGATATTTAGACGTTTGCTTAAGGTGTGCTGAAGTACCTGACGTGATTGAATTTCAAGGACACGAGCACTTGCTGTTTTATGATTTCAAATGCAGGGAGCGATGCAATGGTTGTGGCGCTGATCCAGGTGGAGAAGGTGCATTCAGATGTGGAAAGTGCAGTTTTACTTTGGATTTCAAATGCTTATCGTTACCGCATTCAGTTGTTCACAAAATTGATCAACATCAGCTAAACCTCACCTATCACGATGATAATGATTATTCAAAGCATCTTCATTGTGATATATGTGAAGTAAAAAGAGACCGGAGCCTCTGGTATTATTGTTGTTCGATCTGTGATACTTCTGCTCATCCCGATTGTATTCTTGGAGAATTTCCATTTCTCAAGGATGGGATCACATTGTCTCCTTATTATGGGTACAGACATTATCATGATGTTCAGTTTCTTAGGAAGGCTGAGGACTACCCTAACTGCTCTTCATGCCGTCAGCGTTGCCGAAGAGAAATTGTCAAGTGTACTGAGTCTACGTGCAACTATATTGCTCACTTCAAATGTTGCTGGCTTAGAATCTAAAATGTCGGCGGCGTAAGTTCTTCAGGTAATCATAGAGCCATTGTTATGGTTGATTGCTGAGATGGTGTTGTCTTATTTGCATCCATTGACATTAACTTCAATGGTGTTGATGATTGTAGATGTGTTTGGCTCAAAATGGAAGGTTTAGAGGAATTCAAAGGATTTCGCATTTCGTTCCTACTGCTTCGTGGGCTGGAAAACTTTGAGTGAGCTTTATCTATGAGTGTTATTAGTGTGTGATTAATGGATTTGTGTGATTATGATTCCGAGTGTTATTAGTGTGTGATTATATTTCAATGTAATGATTCCCAGTGTTATTATTGTGTGATTATGTTTCAATGTAATGATTCCCAGTGTTATTATTGTGTGATTATGTTTGAATGTCAATTTAAGAATATTTCTTACACAGTTTTTATTACACTTTCAACCCGAACATCAAAGTAATTTATAAATGAATGTTAATGATGGGCACAACATACTTAAGGGTAAATTACGTATTTAGTACCTAAACTATCAATTTTAGTTTGTTTTAGTATCTAAACTTATTTTTTTAAATCATACCTAACGTTTAATTTTTGTTTCATTTTAGTATCTCACTGTTAAAAACTTAACGTGTTTAGTACCCAAACTATAAAATTTACTCCGTTTTAGTATCTAAAATTTTAATTTTTATAAAATATATGGATCAAATAATAAACATACATGTATATATCTATAACTCGAATAGAAAGTAGGGGTGAGCCGGGAGCAAATCTTGACTCGACTCGAAAAAATCGAATTTCTTTTTTTTTAATTTTGAGTTATTCGAGTTAACTCGATTTATCAATTCGGTTTTCGAGATTGAGTCGATTTGAAATTTTGAAATTTCGAGTTACTCAAAAAACTGAAAAATTGAATTAGTATTTTGATTGTTTTACGATTTAATCCTTGATTTCATTATTCCTTCAATTCCTCCTTCATTTTAAGTTCATTTTTCATCAAATTTGAACCATGTGGTCTTAAACTATCATAGAATACATATGCATTTTCAATTCATCTTTTTTATTATATATATATAACAAATTATTTTTTTTTCAATTTAGTCCCTCAATTTTTCATGATTTCGTTTTTTCTTCATTTCATCATTTATTTTAAGTATGTTTTTACCAAATTTAAACAACATGCTCATATACCACAATAAAATACATATATAACTTCAGTTCTCACTTTTTTTACTAAAAATGTTCTCTCTCTTTTTATTTAGTCCCTTAACTTTACATTTTACTCAATTTGGTCTTTTCACTACAATTGTTCGCAAATTCTTTATTCCCATCAATTCATTGACTCCTATACTCTCATCAATATTTTTCCCTTAAAATACTTTCTTTTAAATATCATGGAATATCGGACGAGCCAGAATTATTTCCTTATTCGATAAGACACTAATTTTCCAAGTACACCCCCACTAGGACGAAGCCAATAGTTCCCAAGAATCGGTCTTAATTGGTGAAGGACACATGATGGTGCGTTGGGCTGGTGGCACTGACCTACACAAATTATCCATATCGTCGGGGCAATTTTGAAGCTGAGAAGGTGGCAATGGCATTGTTGTTTTAAAGCAGAAACGAATCTCCTTGAGGTATAGCTGCTTTATGCCTCTAATTGGCAGTAATGCCTCTAATTGGCATACTGCATGAGATTTGAGGATAGAATCCCACTTTCCTTTTTCACATTTTGTATTAAAGTGTCCATGTCATGTGCAGTATCTGATGGTTTTACTCCCAAAACTGCATGTTCAACAATGAAAACAAGGGTAAAATATAAGAAATACAGGGAATTTTTTTATTTAAGTCCCTAAACTATTTAATGGTTAAAATAAATACTTAATTTTATATGACGTGTCAACGTCTTATTGATCAAAAAAAATTCTAAATGAAAAACAATAGGACTTAAAATGATTAAATATAATAGTTTAAAGGCTTAGTTTGACCAAAAAAATAGTTTTAAGTACTTAAAGCAATATATATATATATATATATATATAATTTCAGTACTTATTTTTACTTTAGGCTTAATACAAAAATGAGTGTCTAAACTATACCCCAAATTGAATTTTCTAAACTAATTTAAAGACTTATTGTACCTTGTGGCTTCTACCTTAGAAAAAATCCATAAAAAGGTGGGTAATAAATGCTAACGAGAACAACTTGTAAAGCAAAATTTCCATTCAAAAGAGGAAAACGAATATTGTACTTTAAATTGAACTTAATTTCCAACATATTCACTTTGGTATTCATGGAATTCCATTCCATTTTTTATTATTTTATGATCCATCTTTATTCTTTTCTTTTTCAATTAAACTTTGGGTAAATTACAAATATTTTTAATTTATTCATTGAACTTAATATATTGGGTTTCTTTGGTCACTCACTTACTAAGTCGTTTTCTCACTAATGACGTTATAAATAGGTTTTTATATAAATACAAATTGATGTCATTTTTTAAAAATTTTATTTTCTTAAAAAATCATTTTGATGCTGTTATCTATTTAATGATGGGTGATTAAAAAATTAAGTATATTAAGTTTAGTAAAAAAAAAAATTATATTTTCAGTAAATAAAATAAGAGAGAATGTAAAATTTAGTGATAAGTTATCATTAACGTTAAACCCCACCATTGACATTGACTAGCTCCTCCATTAATTATAAATTTAAAACCCAAGTTTCAGGCACAGAGACTTCAATCAATCCCACCCTTTACTGCTGTAAGTTTCTCTCTCTAAGCAGCATATGGTGTAATTAAAAACTTGGTTTTTTTTTTAAGTTTTTCCCCATGTTTTATGGCTTATGCCATGCAAATGTCATTAAAGTATGAGCATGGGGTTTTCAAGCTCATAAGCTTTAAAATACTGCATATTCACTTCCCAAGTTGTTATCTTAAATCTGGGTTTTTCTTATTTACCCTGTTTGTGTGTTGAAAATCATTGCTTTGTTGTCAAAGTTTGACTTTTTCTCTATTTTTAATCAGAATTCTTGAAATTTTCATTTTTTTTGAATCGTTTGAATCGTGCTTAGTAAGCCCTTTAAATTGTAATCACCAGTGGCAAGCCTTTGTCTATTTTTTATTCACTTGTTTTCTGACAAAGTTGCCTGTAAGTGGGCTCTTTCAGCTCAATTTTGCCTGTTGTGTCCTATTTTTGACTTTCTGGTTTGGTTCTTGTTTGATCCTGGTATGTCTCCGACGGTTGCTTGATCTCATGTTTCGATTTCTTTTTCAGGTTCGATCCTTGTAGAAACAGTGCTTAATTTGCCAATTGCATTGGTCTTTTTTGATTGATTTTGAATGATTTTTGTTTGTTTGTATGGAAATAAGGATCCCCTTTTGTTGTTTTTCGATTTACATTTCGACAAGTCCCGAATTCGATCTTGAATTTTGTTATGCCTGTGAGCCTTTGATTCAGTTTTTCATCTCAGTAATTGATGTCAAAGTAGTAGTTCATGTTCTGATTGATTAAAACTTCTTGCTTGATTTTGATTTCTGGTGGATTACTCTTAATAGTTCACTTTGTTCGATTCTTGATCCGTGTCTAATTGGATTGCAGTAATTCTCCTGAAGCCGGTTTTCGAGTTTGCCTTGTCCTGTAAGTCAACCGGAACTTCGATCATTAACTGGTTCGGACTTTTGGGTGTATAGAACTCGTTTTAAAGCCGTTTCGTCCTCGTTTAAGTTTGATTACAACCATCGATGATACTGCAAAAGAACGTGGGAAGTCCTTCCCCGTTCCTTCTTATTGCATTAGCTCTCGGGTTTTCCTTCGCCACTTACAATCTGGTAACAATGGTAATGCACAATAGATCTCTTTTGGAACGGATAGTTGGCGACTCCAATGGTGGGATATTTTTTGATCCGGTCATCGAGATGCCCGAGAGTGTAAAGAAATCGAAGAGTGCCAAACTGCCTTTTCATGTTGCCTTAACAGCTACTGATGCTCCATACAGCAAGTGGCAGTGTCGGATCATGTACTATTGGTATAAGAAGCAGAAGGACTTGCCCAGGTCGGAGATGGAAGGGTTCAACCGTATTCTACACTCCGGGAGTCCTGACAACTTGATGGATGAGATTCCTACCGTTGTAGTTGATCCTCTTCCGGTAGGGCTCAGTCGGGTACGTTTTTCACATCACTATGTTCTTGGTTGGGGCTAGTCGTTTCTTCTTTTTTGTGTGTTTAAATGCTTAGAATAGTCTTGGACTTTTAGTTTAATTTGTTCGAGTCATCGGTCTAAACGAATTGAACTATTTGAACGGTTGGATTTAGAATTCTTGTTTAGTAATTTCGGATATTCCATTGATCATCGTTTCACTTCTCAGGGATACATCGTCTTGAATCGACCCTGGGCCTTTGTGCAATGGCTTGAAAAGGCTACAATCGAAGAAGAGTGAGTGCTTGCTTTTACATGTCATGATTTTGTTATCCATTTCATGGTACCTTGTCCGGCTTTACTTATGTTACTCGGATTCGAGTGTGAGTGCATTTTGTCTCTGTGAGTTTTCCCATGTATTTGGTGCTCGTCGGAAGTTAATGTCTCCGTATCTATGTGTCGGACATCAGTACTTTGAGAAAAACGAAAGTCGGAGCAATATTGGTATTTAAAGCATGCTCAGTCCGAATCGAAGTCCGTTTCATTAAATTCGAACTCGGTAAACAGTTTTTCAGCTTTTTAACTTACGATTCGATCTATTTTTCCGATTAAACTCCGTTTCTGACGTAATTTCTATTGCATTGTATCCGAAATATTTTGGGGCGTCGAATTCATGTTCGAGAGAAATCGAAAGGAGTCTAAATGGTTGATCGGTGTTTGATCCGGATTAGACTTCTTTGCCTCTACAGTATTTGATCTGGATTAGTCGTCTTTGCCTCTACAATATTTGATTCGTATTATTCGATCAATAAACCAGATAGCGGTTGTAATACGAAAAAAACTAATCTTAATAAAATTTTCTGTTTTTTGAGTTTGACAAATTAAACTTTCATAATTTGAGTTTTTGAAAAATTGATTAAACGAGGCTTAAACCCAAAAAAAAGTACTCAAATTATGTCTTTTTTTTTTTCTTTAGCTACCTAAATTATTGTTTGGTCAAACTAAGTCTTTAAACTATTATCTTTAGGAACAACATTGTTAGAATGCATCATTCTATGAGAAATATAAAATTACAATGTTTGGTTAGAGAAATATAAGATTATTTGAATGCATATTTCACTTAATTATTCTTGTAATATGTGTTTTTTTAATAAAAAAAGTTAAACTTTAATATTAAATTATAAATATTTGAATGAAAACTCATAGAAATATTTTAATAGTTATACTAGTCTAACTTTTGACAAAAAAAATACATTTAATATATAATTAGTATATTAAACTTATATTTTTTTAAAAATTCATAAGTATCATGTTTATTTATATAAAATATAATATAATATAAATAATATTATGGTCTCGAGTGGACAAAAATGTTATTTTTCAATGTATAAGATCTATATTTTAATTTTTTTCACCTCATAAAATTACATATAATTAATATATTGAATATTAAAAATATAAAATAATTTTAAATACTCAAATTTATTAATATTTTACTAAATTAAACTCTTTGTATGTTATTATCATGTTTATAATTTTGTGTAAAGTACAAAAGATAAGAATCAAGAATGACCATTATAAAAAGAATTTATTAGTTAAAGGTATTATTGTTTAAAGTGGTGAGAATTGTCTAATACCTAAGAATTTAAAAGTATGACATTCCCACCATTTTAAACCAAAAAGTGCAACTATTGAGAATAGATTATTCCATGATAATAATCTTTTTCATGAATCAAACGTGAGAATGCAATTCCGCAAAAAGATTATTTCCCTTAGTAATGATCTTTTCCTTGAATCAAATGCCCCTTAAGGTACAGTTGATTTGTGCCTATATTGCATGAGATTTGAGGATTAAATCCCGCTTTTTTTTAACATTTTCTAATAAATATTTAATTTAATGTGAAGTGTCAACATTTTATTGGTCGAAAAATATTTTTTTGAAAATAATAGGACTTTAAATGATTAAATATAATAGTTTAAAGAACTAGTTTGACCAAAAAATAGTTTAAGTACTTAAGCAAAAAGAATGCATAGTTTGAGTACTTATTTTTTACTTTAGGATTAATACAAAAATAAATGTCTAAACTATAACCTATATTGACTTTTGGCGTCTAAAAATTTTTTCGTTAAAAATAGATATCTAGCGTTTCCAATATTACACTTTTAGATGTATGATCTCGCCGACCATCGTGAAAATCACCGCAAAGGGTCGTCGGTGTTTTGGGTTCCCTTTTTTTTGGCAATTACGAAGGCTCTAGTTTTCATGCTTTACACGACCGCACCATTGAGTTCCTCACCCTGCTTCGATCAAAACCCAACAGGTGGTAACCTTTCGCCATCAAAGGTGGGGGAATGGGAGAGAGGGGATGACGCGAGAGGTTCGATTTTTTAAATTTTTTTAGCAAAATCAAATTTTTATTTAAAAAATAAAAAATAAATATAACGGTAAGTTTCTAAAAGTGTAACAAAGAAAACATTATACATCTATTTTTAACGAAAAAAATTTTAGACACTAAAAGTCAATTTGGGATATAATTTAGGCACTTATTTTGTATCAAAGGACTAACTTTTGATAGGCGAATGGTTCAACAAACAACACTATATAGTGTGAAGACCTTTTTGTAACTTCTAATAGTCGAGAGATATAATAAAGTAGTACCCTATAATCAAAGACATTTGTAAAGTACAAATGGTCAAAAACAGTGTGGGATTCTATCCTCAAATCTCATGCAGTATGCCAATTGAAGGCTCAACCCAACTATACCTGAGGGAGATTCGTTTATGCTTTAAAAGAGTAATGTCACCTTCTGTGCTTCAAGATTGTCACAACGATATGAATGATGTGTGCAGGCCAGTGCCACCTCTCCAGCGCCAAGTTTTGTTTCCTCTACCCAATACTATCAATGCTGCCCACAATGTCACTTGGGGATCTTTGGCTTCTGCCCAGTGGGGATGGAGTAATTGCCAATTAGTATGGCAACGGATAAGGAAATAATCGTGTAGTTTTAATCAGCGATTTAAATTATAGTTGCGATTGTATTTTCGATCGGGTTGCTTTTATGTAAGCATTTATGGTACTAGTCTTCTCTCTAGTGGGTTTGTGCCTAGTGCGAGTCGAAAATTAATACGATAACGAATAAACAAGTCCTCATTAACTTGAAATGTTCGCGTTATGTGTACAGGCTTTCCAAAGCATTGTATGGAATGAAAGTCTGTGGAAGTTCTTGATCCAAATGGGGTTCATGAGGGTAATGGTGACAAAATCTTATTTTACAGATGCGGAATTTTATATTAACGGGCGAATTTGAACTTTTAAAATTTAGGGGACGAAATTGGATTTTAAAAATGAGAGGACTAGTACGAGAAAAACATATATAATATTTTATTCAACGTGTTAATGTTTTGACCTTTGTGTCGATATTGCTTATATTTATAAACTTATCTTTGTCGTGCCAAAAAATTCTTTCATTCAACGTGCTAAAAACTACACGATTACGACACATGATAATACATAATACAGATCATGGAATATCGGATGTTGTCGAAAATATTCCCTTATTCAAAACATTACTAAAGGTGAATATTCGATTGAGTGCAATCGAGTCGAGTCAATATATATTTAAGTTAGTCGAGTTGACAAATCTTATTTTATGATTCAAACTTTATTTGAATATTTTTTCCGAGTCAAATTTAGTTTATAAAATTCGAGTTGAGTCAAGTTATTCGATTTTTTATTTAAATTTAATTATAAATATTTATATTGTTATGATACTAATTGATTTAAATTTAAACGGCTTTAAATAACCATATATATATATATATATATATATATATATATATATATATATATATATATATATATATATATATATATATCGTTACCACAATCAGTTGTTCACAAAATTGATGAACATCAGCTAAACCTCACCTATCACGATGATAATGATTATTCAAAGCATCTTCGTTGTGATATATGTGAAGGAAAAAGAGACCGGAGCCTCTGGTATTATTGTTGTTCGATCTGTGATACTTCTGCTCATCCCGATTGTATTCTTGGAGAATTTCCATTTCTCAAGGATGGGATCACATTGCCTTATTCTCATCACGGATATCATCATGGTGTTCGGTTTCTTAGGAAGGCTGAGGACTACCCTAACTGCTCCTCATGCGGTGAGCGTTGCCGAAGAGAAATTGTCAAGTGTACTGAGTCTACGTGCAACTATATTGCTCACTTCGAATGTTGGTGGCCTTGATTCTAAAATGTCTGAAGCGTAAGTTGTTCAGATAATTATAGAGCCATTGCTATGGTTGATTGCTGAGATGGTGTTGTCTTATTTGCATCCATTGACATTAACTTCAATGGTGTTGATGATTGTAGATGTGTTTGGCTCAAAATGGAAGGTTTAGAGGAATTCAAAGGATTTCGCATTTCGTTCCTACTGCTTCGAGGGCTGGAAAACTTTGAGTGAGCTTTATCTATGAGTGTTATTAGTGTGTGATTAATGGATTTGTGTGATTATGATTCCGAGTGTTATTAGTGTGTGATTATATTTCAATGTAATGATTCCCAGTGTTATTATTGTGTGATTATGTTTCAATGTAATGATTCCCAGTGTTATTATTGTGTGATTATGTTTCAATGTCAATTTAAGAATATTTCTTACACAGTTTTTATTACACATTCAACCCGCAAAGTAATTTATAAATGAATGTTAATGATGGGCACAACATACAAAAGGGTAAATTACACATTTAGTACTATACTAAAGGATAAATTACACATTTAGTACTTAAACTATCAATTTTAGTTTGTTTTAGGATATAAACTTATTTTTTTAAAATTATACCTAACGTTTAATTTTTGTTTCATTTTAGTATCATACTGTTAAAAACTTAACTCGTTTAGTACCCAAACTATCAAATTTACTCCGTTTTAGTACCTAAACTATTAATTTTTTTTTCAAAAGTTAACGTTAAATTTTGAACGTGATATTAAAATGAAACAAAAACCTAAACTTTAGGTATGGTTTCAAGAAATTAAAAATTTAGGTACTTAAAAAAACTAAAATTGATCTTTTAAATACTAAACGTGTAATCTACACATATATAAAATGTATAGATCAAATAATAAACATATATGTATATATCTATAACTCGAATAGAAAGTAGGGGTGAGCAAAACTTGACTCGACTCAAAAATCAAATTTCTTTTTATAATTTTGAGTTATTCGAGTCAACTAGAATTATCAATTCAGTTTTCGAGTTCAAGTTGATTTGAAATTTTGAAATTTCGATTTATTCAAAAACTTGAATTAGTATTTTGACTGTTTTACGATTTAGTCCTTGATATCATTATTCATTCAATTCCTCATTCATTTTAAGTTCATTTTTTATAAAATTTGAACCACGTGCTCCTAAATCATCTCATAATACATATGCATTTTCAATGTTTTTCTTTAAAAATTGTACAGATACCATGTGATAACGTTG